AAGAGCTATTTATGACAAACCCACAGCCAATATCATACTGAATGGGCAAAAACTGGAAGCATTCCCTTTGAAAACTGGCACAAGACAGGGATGTCCTCTCTCACCACTCCTATTCAACATAGTGTTGGAAGTCCTGGCCAGGGCAGTCAGGCAAGAAAAAGAAATAAAGGATATTCAAACAGGAATAAAGGAAGTCAAATTGTCTCAGTTTGCAGATGACATGATTGTATATTTAGAAAACTCCATCAACTCAGCCCAAAATCTCCTAAGCTGATAAGCAACTTCAGCAAAGTCTCAGGAAACAAAATCAATTTGCAAAAATCACTAGCATTCCTATACACCAATAACAGACAAACAGATAGCCAAATCATGAGTGAACTCTCATTCACATTGGCTACTAAGAGAATAAAATATCTAGGAATCCAACTTACAAGGGATGTGAAGGACCTCCTCAAAGATGAAATATTTTTATAGGAGTTCTATATTTTACTTATTCAAAATCAGTTTGTTAGATAACATTTTCCAAGATAATCATGAAGTAAATGCTTTCTATTTATTATTCTTTAGAATGTTTGTCTAAATTTAGATGCTGCAAAGTTGTCAACCCTCTCAATTTATTTCCATTATGCTCTAGTATGTAAGTTTATCCTTGAAATTTAGGAGCCCTCCTCAAATGCTTCCCACAAATTCACCTATTCCAAAGCACTGTTATAATATTTAAAATCTTGTATACTTTTGAAATCTTATTAAATTTGCTAAGTGTCTTTCTTGAATCATGGAGAAATAAACTTCAGTGTTTTATTTAAAAAGTGCAACTTACTGTATTGTTCAAAAACTGATTTATTTGGTACTGAAATTATTTTAACAGTTTAATTAAATTTTTGAAACTGACTTGAGCAAGATGCAGCTAAATGTAGAGCATTCTGTTACTAAAATGTCAAAGCTTCTGTGCACCCTTAGATTCATTTTCAAAGTCATTCTTTGGAGACTTAAACATTTCTAAAATTTGAATATTGATGAAAAGAAGCAAGAAAAGAGCACATTATGGCATGTTACACTTTTTTCAATAGTAGTTTTGTCACAACAAATTAGTTCTGTTACTCTGTATTTAAAATTATTTGTGAATTTTGCAATTACAGTTTTTATTTTAGTTGTGTGAATATCATGACCAATTTGTAACAAAATATGAACTATGTGTGAACTACAATACATTTCCCATATTTTCTGCTTCACATTTTTCTATATTTGATCAAAACAATGTATTATGTCACATACTTAACAAAATGTGTATTTAAAATTTCACCACAGGAACCAATAACTTTAGTTTTGAATATGTTTTGCAGAATTCACAAATTCCCAATAGCACTACCAATGCTGTCAGATGTCTTGCCTTTGACAGAATAAACTTGCAAAACTTTATTTTAATTTAATGAATTGAAGGGAAAAAGCAAACCATTATTGGAATTAACTGATTATCAATTTGAAGTTTCTGATTTTATTAATATAGCTCTCATTTTTTTTAAAAAAAAATATTTATTTATTTTTTTGAGACACAGTCTCAATGTTTCACCCAGGTTGGAGTGCAGTGGTGAATCTCGGCTCACTGCAACCTCCGCCTCCCAAGCTCCAGTGCGTCTCCTGCCTTATGCTCCCAAGTAGCTGGAATTATAGGCACATGCTACCACAGCCGTCTAATTTTGTATTTTTAGTAGTGACAGGATTTCGCCATGTTGGCCAGGCTGGTCTCGAACTTTTGGCCTCAAGTTATCCACTTGCCTTGGCCTCCCAAAGTGGTGGAA